TGCCAGCATTCCCTCAGACATGTGTTACGGCAAAGACCCAGAAGCCTCCATAAACCAGTAAGATTACAGTTCGTGGCCCAGACCACCTTAGACTGCTCTTGAAGGCCTTATTCTGAGTGTCACAGTGGGGATCAGTCTTCTTGGCAAGTGGAAGAGCTTTGGAGACAGGAGCAATGTCCCTGATGGTGCTATAAGAACTCTAAAGGTCTTTCCCCTCCCCCTATGTGATGTGGCACATCAGCCAAATTCTCATTCTGCTGTTCTTTATTAATTCCAATGGCAGGGAGTTCATTCTAAAAGAAGTGTAGACTTGTAGAAAGTACCTCATAATACATATTCACTGGACTTTTCATTCAAAACCCCACGAGCACATGATGAAAATAATGAATGTCACTGAACTGTACATGTGAAAATGTTGAAGTAGCAAATATTTTGTTATATGTACTTTAACCACAATAAAAAACAACAACCCACAAACAGGGTCCCTGGTAGACTGTGCACCCTTTGAGGCAGGGCTTGTGTTCCCTTTTGTGACTAGTAGAGGGTCTGTGCACTGTTGTTGTTAAGTGTCATTGAGTCGGTTCTGACCCATACCGACCCTGTATAGGGTTTTGAGGAGCAGCTGGTGCGCTTGAACCGCTGACCTTGCAGTTCAAATGGCTTCGCATTCTAGTGCATTAGCTCACCACACCAGGACTCCATAGACCCAGCAGAGGGTCTGTGCACAGTAGGTGCTGTAAATGCTGACCAGGGAAGCAGTTGGGAGTGGTTGGATTCAGCCTCCATCAAGCCAGGGGCTTCAGGTAACTGGGTCAGCTGGTCCCGCAGGGCACCAAGTGCCCACACTGATGGACTCTATGACCTTATTAGAATGAGTTGCCATAGAAATCAACCCTCCCTGTCCCTGTGGCCCATCCCTCAGGCCTGAGGGATTCTTGGGCTGTTCAGCAGGTCTCCGTAGGGCCACCTGGCTGTTTTCTCTGAGCTGGACTGTCCCCAGGGACCATGCAATCCACACTGCATTGTGTAGTCAGGGGGCCCGAGGCACAGAGGCTGCAGACTGCCTGAGACTCACCTAGAAAGTGGGGTTGCGGAGTTAGATTTGGCTGTCAGGAAGAACAGTCCCCACCCAGCTAGGGGACTTTTCACCAGCCACAGGCTCTAGGAAGAAATGCTGAACGATTGATTCTAGGGTGTTCAGCATCCCCTGGAGAAGAATGGGAATCCCTCTCCCTGGTGTGTTCAGAATCATACAATATCAGTAACAGCTGACGTGGTAGGACAGTCTGTATTGCCTCTTCAGTTTCTACACCAACCCCCACATTTACAGATATTAAAACAGGGCCTGAGGTCATACGGCCACTAGGGGGCAGAGCTGGGATTGGAATGTGGGGTGTTTGCTACCACAGCTCACCCCTTTTTCTGCAGGGAAGTGTGCCTTGCCTCACTCTTTAAAAAAATGAATTTTATTTTATTTTTCGTGAAAGTCTACATAGCAAAACAAGTTCCCATTTAATACATTGTTCAGTGACATTGGTTACATTCTTCACCGGGTCTGCGTTCTCGGTATTTCCAGTCTAGTTCTGTTCTAGTTAACTTTGCCTCACGGCCCTCCTCCCAACTCCAGTCTTCTCATCTATGCTGGAGAGTAGTAACTGTTGACCATCTGATCTCATATAATTAATTTTTTAAAAGCACATAGTACTCATTCTTTACTTTTTGAGTTAACCTATCATTTAGCTGAAAGGTAACCTCAGGGCATAATTTTGCTTCCGGGTTTAAAGACTATCTCAGGACAATAGTCTCTGTGATTCCACCAGCCTCCTAGGACCCAGTAAGACTTGATTATTTAAGAATTTTTCAGTTCTAGTCTACATGTTTCTTCCTTTTGGCCCAGACCCATCGGCTGGGAATCAGGCTATTTGGTAGTGATAGCTAAGCACCATTTAGTTCCTCTGCTCTCAGGATAGAGGAAGTTGTGGCTCATATGGGCCATTAGTCCTATAGACAGATTTCATCCCGATTTTTTAGGTTCCTTCTTTTTCTTTTGATTTAGACAGAGACCAAAAAGCTTTTAAGATCCTAGATACTACTCTTCATACTGGGAGGTAGAACATAAACTTTTAGAACTATATTATAACAATTGAATGAATTACCCCACAAGACCATGATCTTAAAGTCTTCAAACATAGAAAAGAAATCCCATGAGGTAACTGGTTAAGTCTGTGAAATATCGGCATCTAGAGTCCCTATTTGTTTTATGATATGAGGGGGCTTTAAAGTTTGTGGAAAAGTTCCATTATCTTTTCATTCCATTTTTCCAAGAGCTTTAAAAAAAAAAAAATTATTGTGAATTATCTGATGGTTTACATAGGAGAACATTATCTTTACATTCATCCTATTGTGTTTTGTTTCATTGCAATGATTACAACCCCCTGCATGCATTATCAAACGACCAAAGGGTACACTCCACATACCTGCCCCCTAGACACCAACATACTACAGCCCCTCTCCTTCCCTGAGTCCAGAGTCCTCAGCCACTCCTTCTTGCCATGTCATCATCTCTGCTTCCATCCCTGGAGTCACTGCTTCTCTGGACAGGGTCCCACACTTCGCTTTTCTCCTTTGTGGTTGGTTCCAGGGATCTGTGCTCCTGGACTGCAAAATCAATGACTCCTCTCATTTTGTTGCAAAATGTCTGCCTTTACCTTTCCAACACTTGCTTTCAGACCTGATAACAATCATTCCCTACTGAACCACAGGAGTCTTATCCCTGTCACCTTTTATCAGCCCCATCCAGACAGGTTGGAAACAACTCAGTGGAGATTCTGTCTTTCCCTGTACCCTCTGGAGCTAGGTTCTCTAATGAAAGTTTGCAAGCCAGCCACTTCTTGCCTTTGTAGCCCCCCATTTTGGGTAGCCAATGTCTAAGTTCCCCATCCTTGGTGACCCTGTGTACCCAGGGGGTGGGAATGATTCTCACTGTCAAGATTTGTTCGCTCCTTTGCCATACTGCATCCACAAGCATAGATCAAGTTCATCTAATTGTAGTGGATTACTCTTGTTTTCCTCTTCTTTCTTCCTCTAGTCATGTTCTGATCATCCAGCCATTGATGCCAGGTGAAATGGGTACTATCTGCAAGCATGGGTGTTCTTGTACATCTCCCCTCACTTCATATCAGCTGGATGCTTCACACTCCACTCTAGTCCTCTAGGGCCATGTCCCTGCCCCTGGGCCCAAGGAGTCCCCAGGTCTCATCATACTGCTGGCCAACCAGGTTGCAATCCAGGTTAACAGGAGTCTATTGAATGTGGTCAGAGTTAGCTCACAACTCATTGCTGTTTTTCCCCCACTTCCTCTTATCGGTGACCAATGTGGTCAGCAGCAGGACCACATGCCTGCTCATATATTCCACTTGAGTCTCAGTCTTGGAAGGGGGTTTGCCTTGAGGGGACATGACCACTTGCCTTTTCCAAGAGCTTTTTGAAGTGCCCTTGTATATGTCTATATATGTGTGTATGTAATTTTTTTGGTGGTTGTTCCAAAATGATACTTAACATAGCATTTACCAATAGCAATGACCTTTTTCTAATGTAGAACTTGGTGTCCTAAGTTACATAAGTCTAGCTGTGCACACAGTGTGCACATTTGGCGCTAACCTTTTCCATAAACAAAACGTGCCTGTATCACTCCTGTCCATAGACTGCTTTGGCGAGAGCTGTAGGAGCTTTTGGGTCTGGTAAGGCTTGCCCGAATCAGAGTCATTGTAATTTCTTGTTCCTATCCACACAATAGTCCTAAGATGTCTACTTTATCTCTGCTTTGCAGATGAGGACACTGAAGCCCAGAGAGAGGAAGTAACTTGCTCAGGCTCACACAGCAGGGAGAGTGAAGCAGGGCCTTTCATTTAAGACCCCTGACTCCACATCTGGTGTTTGTGCTGAGACTGCAGGCTGCCACCCAGGTCTTCTGGGACAGCCCTGGTAAGGTGATGACCCCGTCAGGGCCACGTAGATGGGGAGGTTGGGGAGGTGGCAGCTGTAATGGATGGGGGGAACCCAAACCAGGCTCAGCAGGAACCAAGGTGAGCCAGGTCCTGTAGATGGGGAGGGGGCACACAAGGGGTAGAAGGGCCATGGGCATTGCTGGGAGAGTTTTCAACTTGATTCCCTCTGTATTTCCAGTCTTTGAGCCTCCCAGATCTCTGGCTCAGAGATCTTTGAACTCTCAAATAGTCATTCGTTCAACTGTTTATTGAGCACCTACTGTATGCCACACCCTGTGCTAGGCCCTGGGAACAAAGCAGACAGAACCCCGTAACATGTTATCAAGTAGTAGCACAAAAGTCAGGGGATTTGACCCAATCAGAGGAGTTGGGAACATGTCTTAAGAAGGTGACTTTTGAGCTGAGAACTGAAGGAGGCAGGAGTTACCCTGGTAAGGTGACCAGGGAAGAGAATTCCAGGCAGAGGGAACAGCATGTGCAAAGACCTCGTGGCTGGAGTGCACTCCCAGAAATCTCTCTCTTCAACACTTTCAGCTGGATCACTGTTGGTTGCCACTTTTAGCCCATTCCCTTGGCATTAGGCAATTTCTCTCAGTCATGCATTGAACAAACCATCAGTGAGCCCTCTCCTGTGTGCCAGGTGCCAGGACATAGAAACAACTCAGATGCCTGTCCACAAGGGAGGGGTAGAAGCACTGATTTGAATGGGATGGGGACCCTGGGCGTCTGATTGTGTTTTTGCTGTGCCAGGCCTTGTCCCACAGAAGTCCTTTATAGGTGCCATCATGCCACCCCCATCTTACAGATGAACAAACTGAGGCTCCAAGAGGCTAACCCACTCAAGGTCCCACAGCACCCCTTGCTGGACTTCAGTTTTTCCATCTGTAGAATGGGTAGGGGTGGAGGCCATATAAAGAAAGGGCACAGGTGGGAACACCAGTGCCCAGAGTCTCCTTTTCACCCAAAGATCTTCTCTTGTCTCCAGCCAGGACCATGGGCAGCAACAAGAGCAAACCCAAGGATGCCAGCCAGCGGCGCCGTAGCCTGGAGCCCACTGAGAATGCCCACGGTGGAAGTGGGGGAGCCTTCCCCACCTCACAGACCCCCAGCAAACCGGCCTCTGCTGATGGCCACCGCGGCCCCAACACGGCCTTTGTCTCGGCAACTGCCGAGCCCAAACTGTTTGGAGGCTTCAACTCCTCTGACACAGTCACCTCCCCGCAGAGGACGGGGCCTCTGGCTGGTCAGTGGACCTGGGGTGAGGGTGCTGGGTGTCCTGGCCAGAGAGAAGTGGTTCTACCAGGAGGCTTCTGGGCTGCCCCTTTTTTTCTCTCACTAAAGGGAAAGAGTTACTTGTCCTGGGGATTTTGGGGGATTTCCTGGAGGCTGTGTGTGGGGAGGGGTTTGTAAACTCTAATATCACATTTTTATCAGTTGCCTTGGGGTGAATCAGATTCAGAATGCAAAGAGGTTTAGAGAAGTTGAAGTGGATGACCACACCCAATGGAGGAAACTGGAGACCCAGAGAATAGTTTAAGCCAAAGGGCTCCTCAGGGCAGTGTGGGGAGCAGGCTGCTGCCTCTTGGTCCAGATTAGGTCAGGATGGGTGGTCAGTGTATACCTGAGGGGTTTGGTGGGGTGACCCAGGCCCAGCCTGGGAGAGGGAATAGGGTTCCCAGAAGTCTTGGTCCTAAGGTTGCTTATATGCACCCTTGTGCCCTCTGCTGGCACTTTGGGATATGGCAACCCAAGGCAGGATGCTTGGATTCCTGGGAAGATGGAGTCTCCAAGACACCAGATGAAGATATTCACACAAATACACACTCTTATCTTGACATGCGTGGATACAAACACATTGTCAGAAATGTGTTCCAAGACATCCTCACAGGACATGTAATCTCAGACACACACACACATTGCATGTACAGACACACACTCAGGGACATGGGAACATACACACCTGAGTGCAGATGTAACACACACACACAAGTACACAACCTCATACTTTCAGGTGACGATACACCAATACACACACAGTAAGGAGCACATGCAGGACACAGAGACACACTTAGCTGGAAACACCACAGATGCATAAATACACGTACTCAGACACAGGACAGGCCTGGACCCCAGACACAGAGCCACAAATGTACCCACTCATTTGTTGACAACATGCTTGTTGGTGCTAACTGTGTGCCAGGACCCCTGGTGCTGAGGATAGGGCAGTGCCCGAAATAGACAACACCCCTGTACCTACCCCTATTCCGCTATGACTGTGGTCCCCAGCGCTCTGACACACTCCACCCCTCTCCACAGGTGGAGTAACCACCTTTGTGGCCCTCTATGACTATGAGTCGAGGACAGAGACGGACCTGTCTTTCAAGAAGGGAGAACGGCTCCAGATTGTCAACAACACGTGAGTTCCCCTCCCACTGCCCCTCAGAGCCAGTGAGCAGTGGACTGGGCATCAATCAGGTAGCTCCAGGACGCTGTAGTAGGGCCCCTGAGGAAGTGATGTAGGTGGTGGTTGTTGGCCTGAGGCTCCAGGTAGGCAGACATCTGGGTCCAGGTACTGGATGTGGCAGTTGGGGCAGGGCATAGCACCCCAGGTCTCAGACCCTGCCAAATGGCATGTGGTCAGGGTAGAATGGGGCCCAGGACCCACGACCCAGGTGTGTGCCCTCCTTAGTGACCTGGGGCTGGAGGGCAGGGGCAGCAGTGAAGCCAGAAGCTTCCATCTGTGTTTGGGAGGAGCCCACATTGGGACGATTGGGCACAAATTGTTGATTTGAGAGGGATCACCTCTAGGACTCCAGCCTTGTGGGGATCAGCCTAGAACCAGAGTAGGCACCTCCTGCCAAGTCCTGGGGTCCCTGTGGGCCGTGAACAGGGAGGAGTGAGACTGGGAGGTATTGTGGGGCTCCTCCCTGCTTCTCCTTTCTCTAAGGGCGATAAGCACGTACACTGTTTTGGGGGTGGCTGAAGGTTCAGGCCATATTCCCAGCGCAGGGAGTAGGGCTACCAGCAATGGATGGGCAGGGCCCCATGCCACACAGCCTTCCTGCTGTCCCCTCCCCAGGGGATCCTGGTACCTCCTTCCCCATCCCCTGGCCCATGCTTGTCCCATTCAGACTCTCTCAGCCTCTCTTCCTCTCTCTGCTTCTCTCTCGCTGGCCCTTAGGAGGAAGGTGGATGTCAGGTGTGTACGCACTGTGTGAAGAGTGGGCTGGGTGGGGGAGGGGTTGCTGTTCGGCATGTGCCTCCACCCCCAGTGTCCCTGCCTGTCGTCTCTGGCTGCCCTGGCTGCATCTCCCACCCTCCCAATTTCTCCAACTTCACCTGGCCTCATATGCCAGTTTAACCGGATCCCAGACCCTGACCCCAGGCTGGGTGGGTGGGAGTCCTCCCATTATCCCTGTCACTCACCATCTCACCCACTCCCTGTTCTATCCCCACATTGAGTGCCAGTGGTATGTTGGACCCAGTGTGGCCTGGGTGGTCAGATTCTCACCGCAGTGGCCCCAGTGTGGGCCTGGGCAGGCAGAGGCTGGGGTCAGCTCTGCTGTGTATCTCCCTCTGGTGGTGACACAGGAGCCCCAATGTTGCAATGTTGTCTGGCTGGGGGGAGGGGGGGGGGAAGGGGGCTGTAAGTGGGGTGGATGCCTTCAGAGGATGAGAGGCAAGGGGGCACTAGAGGGCAAAGTAGAGTTCAGCCCTGAGCATCCTCGAAGGCTAAGGAGGTGGGACATCACCATCCCCAGTCCCTTGCACTTGTTCATGCCTCCCTTCCCCTGGTGCATGCTTGCTGTTCCTTCTGCTTGAAATGCCCTTTCTTTCCTCTCTGCATGGCAAGCTCCTGTTTATCCCTCAGGACCCAACTCAGGAGCCCCAGTCTCTGTGAGGCAAAAGAGAATAGAGGTGCCAGGTGTTTTCAGCCATGTCCTTGTGCTTACTCTTCACTACAATCCCACTAAGATGTAGTGTTAGGGGAGGGGGGCTGTCTCTATTTTGCAAATGAGGAAACTGAGGCTCAGAGATGTGAAGGCACTTGCCCAAGGTCACACAGCTACCAAGTAGCAAAGCTAGGAATGAAACTTGCTTAGAAGTTCTCTCCCCTCCTTCTAACTGCTGTCTCTGGGGTTGGGGGCTTCTGCTGCCTTCCCTTGCTTGTCAGGGTCTTGGTACACTTCCTTGTCACCAGCTGCTTTCATCTGCCCCCTCTCTACCCAGACTGGGAGCTTCTTGAGGGCTACTCTCTGGTCTGTCTGACTTCAGGGTTCTCACATTCCTGTTGTTCAGCTCAGGGCTGTGCATGGGGGTAGGGTAGGGGTAGGGGGGTGGGGGACTTACTAGCCATGCTGGTGAATGGGATGAATGAGCAACGAGAAAGCCACTACCATTCATTGTGCCCATACTTCCTGTCGTGAATAAGCCGAGTCCTGTGCTGGCACTTTTGATTATGTTGTTTAATGCGTGCGTCATCACCACAGCCCTGTGCAGTGGGGACACTTACTTGTTCTATTCCACAATTGAGGAAACTGAGGCCCGGAGGAGATGAAATGACTTTCCCAAGGTCACACAGCTAGTGTGGCAGAGCTGGGATGGATAGGCAGGCCCTTGGGCCATGGCCCTTATAGGAGGGCTCACTGGCGGTTTAGAGGAGCCTGTTGTAGGAAGGGCGTGTGCGGATGGTGGCTTTGTGGGACAGGGAGACACAGCCAGCAGTGATGAGGAGGGCACCTCAGGTAGGGGCCCAGCTTGTGCAAAGGCATGAAGCCAGGAACAGTCAGGAACTTTGGTTCTATCTCGTTCTACTGGGGTTAAGGCAGCCCCACTTCTGTCTGGCCCACCCTTGCTTTCCTTCTTCCTGGAATGGCTGGGGAAGGTTTGGCCGGGCCTGGAGTGGCCAAGAAAGCTGCACATGATTGAGCCCAGTCCATGGAGCATCCCTGATTTGGGGAGAGAGGATCGATGACAACACTTAGCCACTTCGTTGCCGGAGAGGTTGGTGGTGGTAGAGTTGTGGCTGGCATTATAGAAAGAGGTGGGATAAAGGGATCTGGGGACTTAATGGAAGATGTTGTTGTTGTTAAGTGCCATTGGGTTGGTTCTGATCCATAGCGGTTTCCATTGAGCAGCTAGTGAGCTTGAACTGCTGACCTTGCAGTTCAAATGACTTTGCAGTCCAGTGCATTAACCTACAGTGCCACACCAGGACTCCTAATGGAACATAAGCCCCCCAAATTAGAAATGTTCAGATCTCATACCTCACCCAGGGACTACCCTATTGTCCTTCCACCATTATGGCTTGTTGTTGTTAAGTGCCGTTGAGTTGGTTCTGACCTTGTATAGGATTTCTGAAGAGCAGCTGGTGGATTTGAACCATCAACCTTGAGGTTCAAACCAACCTTGTGGTGCACTGCTTTACCCTACGGCACCACACCAGGACTCCTGACTCCTAAGCCCCACTCACTGTGTGACTGAGGAACTTCTGGAATCCTCTCTGGGAGGCACAGCCATGTGGGGCTGGATTGGGGTCAGGAAGTGGAGAGCGTGAAGATGAACCCCTCTGTTGTTGGGGTTTGGTGAAGGCTGGTGTGTTGGGGTCTGAGTTTTGACCACCCCAAGCCTACTCACCTTATATCCAGTGCTGGGGAGGTGGGTCCTTTGGGATCTGCCTCCAGGTTGCTCCCTGAGCTGCCCTTTCCTTTACCCAAATTCTAGAGTTTTCTCTGAGGGAGCTCTCTGGTGGGTTGCTCAATGATATCTCTGTCTTATCTGCCCACCAGGGGCCAGGGTCACCTCAAACTTAGGAGCCTCCTCCATGGGACATGGCCTCCTGCTCTTCTCAGACCTCTCACCTCAGACCACAGGCCTTGGGAGCTTGGCTCTTGATGACCCAGTCTGTGCGGCACTGCCTTGGCACTGCCTGGGCTCCAGCCGGTTCTCTGCCCTAGGGCTGTTGAGCTCAGGGTTGGACCATTCCAGGCCACCAGCTCATCTGCATGCCTCAATTGCCCAAATGAGTTAAAGTATCAACACCCCACCCAGTCTGGCATGACTTTCCAGGTTCCAGATCTGCATAAGGATTAGGCTGTAAGCATGAAGACCCTAAGGCTCAGAGAGGTGAAGCCAGTTGCCTGGGGCCACACAGCTAGTAAACAGCAGTCTGGATGTAAAACTGCAGCTTGGGGATCCAGCACTTTCTCCTCAGATCCCATGGGGAAAGGGATGGGGAGGGGTTGGGTTGGTCAGCGAATGTATGACCCTACCCCCCTTCTTTCTTTCTCCTCTGTATGCCTGTCTGATGAGGACTGGGCCCTAGGGAAAACACTGGATACAGTAAAGAGCTCTGGTAACGTACTGTTTACAAATCGGGCTGTGAACCACAAGGTCAGCGTTCGAAACTACCAGCTGTTCCGCGGGAGAAAGATGAGGCTTTCTGCTCCCATAAAGATTTACAGCCTCAGAAACCCTGTGCAGGGTCGCTATGGGTCAGAACCGACTCCACGGCACTCAACAACAACAGTAAATCTGCTCAGCCTGGTAGAGTAATACTGCTGGACTTGGATTGGTGACCCTGGCACACTGGACTTCTGGGGGAAATTTTGGGGACCCCAGGGGGAGCAGCCCAGACTCTTGAGCCAGCTCACAGCTACCTGGGCAGTTTTGTGCCTCCCAGACCTTTGAGGTAGAAAGATGGGGACTGATGCCTCTGTTTCACAGGCAGGCAAACGGAGGCTCAGATGGTCATCACAGTGATTTGTTCACCGAGCCCCACATGTTGCTGATTGCTTTACACATTTTGTCTGCAAGGACGATTCTGTGACTATTATCTCCTTTTCATAGATGAAGAAACTAAGACTCAGAGAGGGCAGGACACTTGCTCAAAGCCACACAGCAAGACCTTGTTGGAGACTGGGATTGAGCTGCTATGGTTTCTAAAAATGTTTTGGAGGGCATGGAGGGGGCACTATGGATACACAGATTTAACGGTTTTTTCTTTTTTCAGTCAGTTCACAATATTAATGGCTCATGTGTATTGAGTACCTACTATATACTAGGCTCTCACAAGCCCTGTGGGAAGGAGCCATGAGTATCCCCATTCAACATATGAGAAAACTGAGGCACTGGAGGAAGTGCTATGTGTCCAAGCATCTAAAGCTGGGGCCAGGCTTAAGTGGGATCTTGGGCCCTTTATTAAGATTTAGTACATCCCCATCCCTGTCCCTTGTGAAATAAGACCCCCACCCCCAAACTGGTTCAGACTATGAACCCTCAATTTGCATATAAGTTGATGTTGGGAAACTAGAATTCTCTTGGCAAAAGTGGGGTAACAACAGGTTGGGTACCCCTTAATTTTGGACCCCACTTGGCTTACCTCTGGTAACATGCTCACTCTCAGTGGGTGGCTGAGGGGCTCCCTGGTGGCCAGTCAGTTCTCAGGCTCTTGCTTTATTAAGCCATCTCATTTTGTGACCTCTGACCTTAGACTCTGGCCCAGTCCTAAAGCCTGCCCCCTGCCGCAGTCCTGCTGCCTCTGCCACTGTCCTCTTCTTCCCCCAGCATCTCTGAGTCTCTGAGCTGGGGGCCTGGGAGGCACTTAGGGGCCCTGGGACCTATCCCTGCTCTTCCATTGATCTGCTGTATGATTGTGGGTAAGTGCCTGCCTCTCTACTGCCTCAGTATCCCCAGCTATATGAAGCAAGTGCTGGGCCCACCTGCTCTCTGACAGGTCATTGGAGGGCTCCCCCGCCCTGTGCTCCCCAGACCATCTTTCAAGTGGGCTGAGGAATCTGGCCAGGGGCACATCAGAAGAGCTAAGAGCCAGAGACCCGGCCGGGATAGAGTTCTGACTGTGTGACTATGGGCAAGGGCCTTACCTTTTCTGGGCCTGGCAAGGAGGATGTTCTGTTTGCTGTATATCTTCTCAGGGTTGGGGGAGCCACAGACTGAGGTTAAGACAAGCTCAGTAAAGGCCCATTGCACTCTGTAGGGGACGAGTTTCTTTGTCTGTAGTCAGGAGCCTGGGCCTGGCTGTGTGACTTTGAGAAAAGGCCTTTCCTTCTCTGGCCTCAGTCTTCCCATCTGTACAGTGGGTATAGGGAAGGGGGGTCGGATTCTCTTGCCCTGTTGTTGACACCCTTTATTCCCCATGGACCCCTCCCTGTCCCCTTTGGATGCTTTGGATGTGAGGCCTCTGCCAGCTGCCCTGCCCTGCCCCCAGCCCCTAGCACCGCCTGGCTCTCCTCTCTCCCTCAAACTTTCTGTCTCTCACTACCCCCATCTCTGCCTCTTCTCTCCTGTTGGGCTCTCGCTTTCTCCTCCCTCCTCTGTGTCTCTGGACCCCCGCTCCAGCCAGACCTGGTTCACATTCAGATGGCTGCAAAGGTACTTCCGCCCCGCCCCACTCCCACCCAGGCCCAAGGGACCCTACTGTTCTGGGAAGTTCCTCCTGTCCTGTCCCCATCACCTCCTCCTCCTCGTGGGCTATCGGTGTAGAAGTGCCCCGGGTACTAGGGCCCCTCCAGCTGACTCGCTGTGTGACTCTGGGCAAGTCCTAACTTCCCCAGTCTCAGTTTCCCCTTGCAGATGGGCAGCTATAAGAGAGGCCTGTAGTGTTCAGCTAAGGAGTCCTTTAGGTGTGACCTGTGATTTGTGACAAAAGCAAGCATTGCTCTAGTGTGCAGGGCTGGGGCCTGGATAGTCACCAACCCCAAAAAGGGTCACCCCTGCCTCTACCAGGCTTCACCAGCTGGCTTGTCCCCAGAGACGGAGTCCCCTCCCTCACTCCCATGGCAGTTTGTGCTTCATCGCTGGCTTCCTTCTGAAAGGAAGCTGACATCTTTCCCTGCTTAGGACTCTGTCCCTGTGGATCGGGCCTCAAGCCTAAGGTCTGTCCAGGACAAAGCCTGTCGGAGCCCGCTTTGGCAAGGAGACATCTGGGGCCGGGAGGGGTAGTGTTGTTAGGCCAGCTCTCCCTGGCTGGCTGTGTGCACCGCCTCCCTGAGCCTTATTCTGCCTGAGGGGTTCTACTTGCACCCTGGAAGACTGCTGACGGCTCCCTCTCCTTTGCTTCCTTCCACTTGCCCTGCTCAGAGAGGGAGACTGGTGGCTGGCCCACTCACTTAGCACAGGACAGACGGGCTACATCCCCAGCAACTACGTGGCACCCTCCGACTCCATCCAGGCTGAGGAGTGAGTATTTGTCACTGTGGTCCCAGCTTCTATCCTGGGGTACTCAAGGCCCTGGGCACAGCCCAGGGAGAGGTGCCATGGATGGGCAAAGCCTGGACTGCCAACACCACCCCGCCCCCTCCCACCCAGGTGGTATTTTGGCAAGATCACCAGACGCGAGTCAGAAAGATTGCTGCTCAATGTGGAAAACCCACGAGGGACCTTCCTAGTACGAGAAAGTGAGACCACAAAAGGTATGCGCTCTCCTGCAGGCCAGTGGGAACTGGGTCTTTTGTGGGTTGTTTGAGCTAGGTACCGTAGAATAAATAGGAGTTAGTTATATGGCATAAGGGTTTAGGGGGAAGAGCGCTCCAGGTGGAGATACCAGCAGGATCAGAGGCACACAGGTGTTTCTGAGGAACACTGTGTGGTACCTGGCTGACAGAGGTGCAGTCCAAGATGATGGCTTGGCCTCTTTGCGGAGTCTCCTGAGGTGGCAGCTGGAGACAGGTGGTCAGGAGGTCTGAGGATTACATGGCGAAAGACTCAGCCAGTTCCTCTTCTCCCCTCCCCCACGGGTCTCTGGGGCTGAACGTGTATTAGGACCAGGCTTTGTTCTTCTTCCATTAGTCCTGACCCTGTGCCTCTCCTGCCCTACCCCCATCTGGAGAATGCAGATCTCCTTTCTCCAGCCCCTCAGAAAGCGGGTCACAGGTGCCCTGTTGCCATGCCAATGAAGCTGGGCTGCTTCCCGTGGGCTTGGGACTCACGGGAGCAGAGATGTTTGCCATGCGTAGGTCTGTGTGTGTGTGTGTGTGTGTGTGTGTATGTACATGTGCATGGTGAATTGTTGTGAGTCTGTCCTCATGCCCAGGGGACTGGAAGGCATGTACCTGTGTGAGCAGGGGGACTACTAGACAGCATTCCTGTTCATGAGTAAAGGTGACCTGGGGTAGACCTTGGGCTTGGGCCTGTGACTTCCACACATGCACACATGGCCTGGGTTGTCTGCGTAATGCCCTTGGAGACCTGGTGTATGAGTTCAAGTCTTAGCTTTGTACTTGACATTCTGAGTGACGTAAGACCAACCTCTTTCTCTCTCTGGGTCATAGTTTTGCCTGCTATGTACTGTGTATGTAGAGACTGTCCAAAAAGAAGGTCGTGGCCAAGGGGCTGGGCTTCCAGCAAGATGCTGCCATTCTACTGGACTGGGCTCCTGAGAAGGACCTTCTGTGGCTGCTAAGACCTCTGCTCTCTACTTCCCCCTCTCCAGAACTGAGCCTTGCTTGCTCCCTAATGTACACAGGCAACTGCATTCAGGCCAATAGAGGCTCTCAGCCAGGCCTGCTGGATATGAGGAAACTTTTCCAGCCAAAAGCTTTTCCAGGATTAGGGGAAGCAGGGAGGGGCCACCAGGGCTGGCCAACCTCAGCCTTGGCAGCCCTCAGACTACACCCAGCTGCCCATGGCTATCACCATTTTAGCCAATTCTTGCCTGAACCAGGACCCAGCAGCAAGAGGGAGGTTCCCCTGGAGGCAGACCCAGTATGGGAAGCAATCAGGCAGGGCCACAGAGCCACTTGGGGCCATTTATTAAACATGTCCTAGGCCTCTTCTGTGTGGTCTCATCCGAACTCCCAGGATTCTGGAGGTACCATTACTGTGAAAAGGAGGAAGTGTGGCCCAGAGAGGGCTACTGACTTGTCAAGGTCACACAGCTGGGAGGCACACACAGGATCCAGAGGTCTTGTCAGAGCCAAGGGTGCACGATAGGTCTTGGGTCAGATGCACATTTGTTCTCTTGGCCCAACTTTTGGAGCTGCTCCAAGCTGGGTGCTAAACAAGGCAGTGTGCTCCTCCAGGTGCTTGCCGCTCCGGGTCTTCCTTCATCCTGTCAGGCAGGCATGCAGCAGTGATCAGAGGTGGGCACCACTGTTCCCAGCTGTGGCCCTTAGGAGGAGTGGGTATGTAGTCACAGCTCCCTCTGGTCATGCCCCGCAGGTGCCTACTGCCTCTCCGTGTCTGACTTTGACAATGCCAAGGGCCTCAATGTGAAACACTACAAGATCCGAAAGTTGGACAGCGGTGGCTTCTACATCACCTCCCGGACCCAGTTCAACAGCCTGCAGCAGCTTGTGGCCTACTACTCCAGTGAGTGCCCTGTAGGAAGGCCTGATCTGCTCTCCCTGCCTCCCTCCTCCACTCTCCCTCCCCCTCCATCTGCAGCTGGCTGGTGAGGAGGGGGTTGCACTGAGGGAGCACCAGAACGGAGAAGGGAGGGGGCATGGGCTGGTGTCATTTGTGTCTGCAGCCCAGGACCGGTCTGAACCAGTTACTGGGAGAAGAGAAGGGGGCTGCTGGATCGATTGCAGCAAAGAGAGAGCAGCAGAGGGAGGAAGCACAAGTGGGGTGTGTGTGTGTGTGTGTGTGTGTGTGTGTGTGTGTGTGTGTGCATGCGGGGCACGTACGTGTGGGCCAGTGTATATATGTTGGCCATGTGCAGTGGAGCCTGTGTGTGGGTCTTGCATGTGGGGCCCACCTGTGTGTGGAGTGTATGTATTCAGGGCACATGTGGTGTGTGTGTGTAGCATGTTGTATGAGACATGTGTGCATGACATGTACATGGAGGCTCATGTGTGGGTATATATTTTATGGGAGGTATGCGAGACGCGTGGGAACACGTGGAGGGCCATGTGTGTGTGTGTAACATCTATTCAGGGCACATGTGTGGAATGTGTATGTGTGGAACATGTTGTATGGGGTACGTGTGTGGGGCACGTATAGGGGACTAGGGGACATGTGTATAGAGGCTTGTATGCAGGGCACACGTGTGGCTAAGTGTGTGTGCGGAACACATGTGCAGGGCATGTTATGTGTTTGGGGCTTGTGTGTGGAGCATGTATGCAGCAGTGGGTCTGATCCATGAGGACATCTAGGGCTCCTGGTGTCTGTGGTTCCAGGGGCCTGTGTGTACTCAGGCAGGGCTCCCTGGGCACCTGTCTGTGTGTTAGTCTTGAGAACCAGGTACTCTCCACCCGCACCTCCTCCTTCCCTGTTGGCAGGCCTCCTGACTCCCTCCACAATCTGCCAATACTCTCCACTCCCTTGGCCACCACTGCAGGTTCATTTTGAACCTTAAATCAGACCACGGTTCCCTATTCCCCCTCATATGGCCCTGCACTATAATTTCAACCCTACACAGGTTCACTATGAGTCAGAACCCTATACAGAGACTCCTGGTATGGCGCTGTAGGATCAGCACTGGACTGTGAACCACAGGATCAGCAGTTCAAACCCACCACCTGCTCCTCAGAAACCCTATACAGGGTCACTATGAGTTGGAACCGACTTGACAGCACTTAACAACAAACAATATGGCAGTGGGGTAGTGGGCTACCTTGGAATCTTAGGATAAAGACTCCAGCATAGCCTCTGGGGCCCTGGGAAGTCTGAATCTGCTGCCTCCCACGTTCAACTCCAGCTGCTCTTTTCCTCTCCCTCTCCTGTATCCCCTCTAGCCTCTTTTCAGTTCCTGCAATCCTCAGGGCCTTTGCACAGGCTGTGCCCTCTTACTGACATGGCTCCCTAGTTCACTGCTCACCCTGCTCAGACCCAAGCCCAATTATCACATCCTCCAGGAAGCCTGCCAGGATTCCATCAAGCGCCCCTGCTCTAGCACTGACGGACATCCATGGAAGGCTGTCCTTGGTTTATTTGTGGTCTGGAAGGTGGTTAAGGGAAACTGGACTCTCACTTGGACTGTGGTCCTGACTTGTCCCATTCTGGGTTCCTAGCACCAGCCTGGGTAGGCAAAGGAATGAATGAATGAATGAATGAATGAATGGCTCAGTAAGCAGATGCCTGAGACAGTGTGGGCCTGTGTCGGGTATTTGTGGACACCTGGCTTGGAGGATCTCTGATGTATTCCCAAAGCCAGTATGCGCACAATGTGTACTGTAGATATCATGTGATAGGGTGGACCTCAGTGGGGAGCCCTGCCTGAACTCTATCTCCCTGTCTTTGTCCTCAGAACATGCCGACGGCCTGTGCCACCGCCTCATCACCGTGTGCCCAACGTCCAAGCCACAGACTCAGGGCCTGGCTAAGGATGCCTGGGAAATCCCCCGAGAGTCATTGAGGCTTGAGGTCAAGCTGGGCCAGGGCTGCTTCGGGGAGGTGTGGATGGGTAAGGTCCTAATCCCCAGCCTTCTGTTCCCTCAGGAGAGACCATGGCCTGAGAATCAGGCAGATGTCCACCCTGTTTGGACACTCAAATCACCTTTGGTCCCCTTTCTTTCTCTCCCACAAGCTGGTTGCCTTAACTGAACAGCTATGGACATCGTTTGTTGTGGCTGACACTGAGTTGGGGTCTAGCTCCCCACCTCAAGCTGTACTAGGTACTATGGTGGGTGGGCTGGACTGGTCATAGCTCATTCCCCTGCAGACCACAGCACCTGTTTGTTGAGAGCTGCCCGAGCCTGGGCACCAGGAGCTCCCAGTGACCTGCTGTATAGCCTGAGGCAGATGGCTTCTCTCTGAGCCTCAGTCTTTATAAAATGGGCCTACTGAGAGCAAGATTCCCCCCTCTCAGTGTTCTTCAAAAGCCTTGGCTCAGCATACCGCCCACACATTTGCACTTAACCAGGGAAGGACAGGTGAGCCCAGGGTTTGGTATGCCTGTTAATAATCTCCTGTCTAACCCTGGAGGGAGCCCCTGCTTTCAGTGGGGAAAATGACAGCTCCGACTTGGAAGACAAAAATCACAAAGCCCTGTAAATCCCAGGTCCCTCTTGTGTGGACTGCTTTCTGCTGACACAGGAATCCCAAGGTCAGGTGGAGAAGGACATGACAGCCAGGAGCCTGTGGCTTTGGTGGGAGATCACGGTTTGCCCTGCTCAAGGTTGTTCCGTCTGAGCCGCAGTATTCATTTGATATTGCTGATTTCACTCTCCCCGCATAAGAGGACTGATGGAGAAGAGCAGAGAGGGTCCCAGTGTGGAAGGCATGTGGAGGCTGGCAATCAGGCCAAGTCAGGGAAGGGGCAGCATGGGTTTTGAGCTGATGAGATGGGAGAAGGATAAGAGGCTAAATGGGAACTTGAGCTGACTTCAGATGAATCCATGGTATTGGCCCTTCTAATGGCTGCAGAACTCATCCCTGGTTGGGATGTCATTTGGGGGTGATGCCAGATATCACCCACTTCCTTCCCAGCTGCTCCAGATGAGCCATAGAGACAGGCCTGAGCTCAACCCTCAGATGAGACCCAGGGATCCGAGGAGTGGATCCATCTGTGACAAGAACCTGGATAAAACAGTTTGGTTTACAATCCAGCTTCCCCTAGAGCCCCACAATAACAACAAGAGCAGCAGCCATTGTGTATGGAGCCCTCACAGTGGGACCTGGCCCTGGGCCTAAATTTTCATCTAATTTTTAAAAAGCCCAACAGGATAAGTACTACGTTGTTGGTGGTGGTTCTCACTCATAGTGTCCCTGTGCCCAACAGAAGAAAGCACCCCGCTGTCTTTGACTGTCTTCATACTTGTGATGTTTGGGCCCATTGTTGCTGCCACTGTGTCTGTTCATCTTGTTGAGGGGTCTTCCTCTTTTTCACTAACCCTCTCCTTTACCAACGATGATGTCCTTCTCCAGAAACTGGTCCCTCCTGATAACATGACCAAAGTACATGCGACGATGTCTCACCGCCCTCGCCCCCAAGGAGCATTCTGGCTGGACTTTTTCCTAGATAGCTCTGTTTGTTCTGGCAGTCCCTAATGTTTTCAATATTCTTCGCCTCACTATAATTCAAATACATGGATTCTTCTATGGTCTTCCTTATTCATTGTCCAACTTTCACGTGCATATGAGGCTATTGAAAATCCACGACTTAGGTCAGGTTCACCTAGTCCTTAAAGTGACATTTTTGCGCTTTGACACTTTAAAGAAGTTTTTTGCAACAGATTTGCTAATCCTACAGTGCCACATCATGGTAGGTCCCCTATTTTCTGGCTGATGAAACAGGCTGAGATAGGGCGTCTGACTCACCCATGGTTTCACTGCTGGCAGGAGGCAGAGGAGGGGATTGAGCTCCTACTCACTCGTTGGACCTCCAAACCTCATACCTGATGCCTTAGTGTTTGGGGATTGTGAGTTCCAGAGGCGATTTCTGGCTCCAGAGACTTTCGCTGCCCGTAGGCGAGTCCTCCTCATCCCTGGACACCACCAGTACATGCTTCAGTTTGTCAAGTCAGGAGGCACCTTTGATGCCTGACCCAGAGATTCACTGAAGCCCTGAGATCAGTCAAGTGAGAGCCCTGACTTCATCTCACTGGCTAGCATGCTGCTTTCTAGGACCTTCCTAATAACTATAGTCCCAACCATAACCACTGCTTCTTGAGCATGTGCCAGACATTCATTCTATCTATAATAGTCCCTTGAGGAATATGTCATGATGGTGCCCATTTTACAGATGAAGTCACTGAAGCATAGAGAGCCTGGGCCTTGACTTGGTCGGTCACATGGCTAGGGAGGCCAGAGCTAATATTGGCACCCAGACAGGAGGATCCGGGTTCTTGTGGGACAAGGTTGGGAGCCTCTTCTGAGCCAGCCTGTGCCCCTCACTCCCCCATACAGGGACCTGGAACGGCACCACCAGAGTGGCCATCAAAACCCTGAAGCCGGGCACGATGTCACCAGAAGCCTTCCTGCAGGAGGCTCAGGTCATGAAGAAACTGAGGCATGAGAAACTGGTACAGCTGTATGCCGTAGTGTCTGAAGAGCCCATTTACATCGTCACTGAGTACATGAGCAAGGGTGAGGCCAGAGCGGGCAGGCCAGCCAAGGGACAGGTGGGGAGGGCTACTTCCCCCCCCATTGTAGAACGTGCATCTTATGGAATGAAATGGAACCCAGTTCTCATGTCAGTGAATAGTTAAACCCAGCCAAGAGGGGGCCTTTCCCGTTTCAGTCCTCACACTCCATCTTTTCCTCAGTTTATTGATTTCCTAAAGCAGTTTACCATTCTGGGCCAAAAGAGAACTCCCCGACCCTCCAAGCTGGCCTCATCCAACTTGAGTCCATGACTTGACGTTTAAGTTAATGCTAAACTAGTTAATTTGTTTGTAAAATTCCACCTGGCTGAAATATAGTTTGCAGGCAGTTTGAGTGGTCATTCAATGTGTTTTGTCACATGGATGTTCTATATTCCTCATATTGCAGTCACGAGATAGCACCTCCCCATCACCCTAGAGTGTTCTCTTGTAGTCTTTTGCAGAAAGTACCCTGAGCCCCAGGCAGCCAGGGACCTGCTTTCTGTCACTGTAGACGTGTGAGGCCTATCCTAGAGCTCCATACGTGTCACTTTTTAAAATTGCGACTCATGCATGTTGTTTTGTGTATCAGTAGTTTATTGCTGGGTCATATTCCATTGTAATACGAATCTTTGTGTTAATTGATGGTTCAAACTCATCTGGCAATCTATTTCCATAAAGATTGTTGTTGTTAAGTGCCATCAAGACAATTCCAACTCATAGTGACCCTGTATAGGGTTTCTGAGGAGTGGCTGGTGATGTCAAACCACCTACCTTGCAGTTGAAACTGACCTTGAGGTCAAGTGCTTATCCTACACTCCCCACCAGGTCTTCATAAAGCTTACAGCCAAGAAAACCCTGTGGGGCAGTTCTACTCTGTTACTTGGGGTCACTGTGAGTTGGAATTGACTTCAAGGCACACATGATGAAATTCCACTGTATGGATGGGCCACAGTTGGCTGGCCCATTCACCTGGAGATGGCCATTTGAGTTGTTTCCCATTCTACTGACCCTTTGAGGGAGGGAGAGACATTATTCTGAAATGAGTTTACATACAGTCTGCTGTGCTTGTTAAAGGGAGGCTAGCCATCACTGCTCCTGGTCCAGGGAGGACAGGGCAGAGCGGGGCAGAGGCTGGAGCTCTTTCTCTGTCTGCCCAGGGAGTTTGCTGGACTTTCTCAAGGGAGAGACAGGCAAGTACCTACGGCTGCCTCAGCTGGTGGACATGGCTGCTCAGGTGAGTTGACCCTTCCCCCTGTCTCACACTCTTGGCTAAGCCAGTTTCTGCTTCACGAGTGCCCCCTCCAGGAAGCCTGTCTTTGTTGTCTCCTTACTTGCTGATTTCTCTATATGCATGCTTGGGGACCCTTCCAGTGGCTGTGAGTGGGGGGTTCTGGAAAGAGCCCTCCCCTGGGAGTCCCTGGGAATCAGGAGTTTCTGACTCATTATAGGCTTCAGTTTTCTTCTCTGTAAAGTTTTTTTCAGTCATTCAACCAACATGAATTAGTGCTTGCTGTGGGCAGTGCTCAAACAATTGTTTTTCCTTTAATCTGTATCACAGTCAAGGGAAGCTGGGATGGCTATATTTCCATTTGACAGATGGGAAAACTGAGGCTCAGAGAGGAGACTCAGGGAGGGCTCAGAGAAGCGCAGCAGGCAGGACCTGGCCAGCCATCGCCCTGGCTGCAGCTGGTCTTGTGCCTCCCTGTGATCCTTCCTCCTGTGGAGTGTTTTATGCCAATAACATTCATTGTACACTGACTCCACTTGACTGAAAAAGTATTGGGTGGGGGAAAGGGGCAGGAGTTTGGTTGGCAGGATAACCCCAACCCTGGACATCTGCCCTGTGACCCTGGAAGGGGTGTGGCATGGTCCCTGAGCCAGCTCCGGGCTCTCCTGCAGATTGCCTCAGGCATGGCGTATGTGGAACGGATGAACTACGTCCACCGGGACCTCCGTGCTGCCAACATCCTGGTTGGGGAGAACTTGGTGTGCAAAGTGGCTGACTTCGGGCTGGCTCGACTCATTGAGGACAACGAGTACACTGCCCGGCAAGGTGGGCATGTCCACCTTGTCTGAACCTGTCTCCTCTATCACAGGGGGGATGAATGCAGCCCAGGTGGCAGAGCAGTAGTGAGGAAGGTCATGACCTTTCTTACTCCTGCAGGTGCCAAATTTCCCATCAAGTGGACTGCCCCGGAAGCTGCCCTGTACGGCCGGTTCACCATCAAGTCCGATGTGTGGTCCTTTGGAATCCTGCTGACTGAGCTCACCACAAAGGGACGGGTGCCTTACCCTGGTAAGACGGCTTCCCAGGGCCCAGCTTTGGTCCCTGCAGCCCTCTGCCTGGGTGGCCATGGATAAGCCACACCCCCTTCTGGACCTCAGTTTCCCTACCTGTATAACAAGGAGATTGCGTCCAGTCTTGGCCTTTCTCTGTGATCTGTGTTATCAGCCTGAGGGATGGGACTTGCCCTTGACCTGTCCTAGATGGGAAGCCCTCTTTGTTTCCCACTCCCCCCACCCCACCTTCCTCACCAAAGCCATGCTTCCCATACCTCCCTCTACTCTCAGGGATGGTGAACCGTGAAGTACTGGACCAGGTAGAGCGGGGTTACCGGATGCCCTGCCCGCCCGAGTGCCCTGAGTCCCTGCATGACCTCATGTGTCAGTGTTGGCGGAAGGAGCCAGAGGAGCGGCCCACGTTCGAGTACCTGCAGGCCTTCCTGGAAGACTACTTCACGTCCACCGAGCCCCAGTACCAGCCTGGCGAGAACCTATAGGGAGCAGGCCCTAGGGCCAGACTGGCCTCTCGGCCTGGGTGCTGGGTAGGCAGCCTCTCAGCTGTCCCCCACCCACCCTTCCTTTGGGAGGCTGACTAGCCAGTGACAAGGCCCCTCCCCCTTTTGTGGCTGGAAGGGCTTGGGGGCCCGGGGCAGCCCTTGAGGCAGGGTGGAGGCTGGCACTGTGACTGTCCCCGGGCTCTTTCTCTAGCCACAGGCCTCCTCCCCTCCTTCCCTCTGGGAGCTCTGTGGGTCTCTTAAGGAGGAACTGAGCTGAGGCCTCTTTTCACAAGCTCCACCTGCTCTGCACATCCGATTCCTTCTCTACTTCCCACACTGCCCAGGTCTGTCTTGAGAGCTGGCCCAAAGAGCCTTTCCAAAGAGGAGTGATGGGACTCAGCCCTCAGCGTGCCCGCCTGCCTCTGCCACCCATTTCTGAAGCATCTCTTGGTGGAGGCCACTGGGTGCAGACCCCTCTTCTGTTTGCTCCCTGGCTGGGCAATCCAAGGCCCAGCTGGACTTGATGATGGTGGTTGGCATGGTTCCCCCCTCAAACCCTGCCCTACTTTGACCTGAGGGACACTTAGAGACCCTCAAGTTCTTGCCCCCATGGGGAAACTGATTCCAGAGAGGGGCTCTGACTTGTCCAAGGCCATAGAGCAGTTCAGGCTTGAAGTAGGGGGATAAGAACTCAGTACTCCCTCTGTCTTCCTCAGGAACCCATGAGATTTGTCCTTGGAGGCTTTCAAACTGGGGCAGCCAAGGGACCTCAGGATGGGTTTGAGAGAGAGAGAGCTGGCACTATCCCTGGCTGTGACTCTCAACAGGGTTGCCATGGGCAGAGAGTAGAGGGGGTGAACTAGGACTAAAGAGGGGAAGCTGCAGGAAGGCAGGCTGCAATCAGAATGTGGCTGGTTTTGGACCTTTGGAGCTGGTTGTCCATGAAACTGAGCGAGCGCTCAGGCTCCGGAGGCGATCAAACAGAAGTAGAAGAGCCAGGAGGTTAGGCTGGAGGCCCTCCTTTCCCTACTTTGTCCTGTGGCATTTCAAGGCTTGGCCCTGCTCTTCTTCCCGAGTTGGCACCTCTGAGTTCTCGAGGAATGCTAGTCTGATGTGAGAGGATGAGGGACCTACTGCCATGTGCTGGGACTGGCTGTGTAAGCTTAGGCTGCCACTGCCCCTCTCAGGGCCTCCGCTTCATGTGACTGTGGCCTCCATCACTGTTCAGCTCCTGTCCAGACCCCATGGACTGGCATCTCAGAGGGAGTCCAGCTCTAGGGGCATCAGCAGACTAGAGGTCTGCTGTTTAACCAAGGGTATATGATGGCCCTTCCCTGGGCCTCAGTGTGCCCATCTGTAAAAGGGGTGGATGATAGTTTATGGGCATCTTGCCAGGGCCCCCTATGTGTGTGTATGTGTGTACACGTGTGTGTGCCTCCCTGTGTGTCCATATTTAACATGTAAAAACGCCCTAGTCTCTTACCCCTGACAAATACATTTCACCATGGCCCCATCATAGCAATAACATTCCTGCTGCCTGGGTATCTCGAGCCAGCCAGGCCCTGGCAGTGGGGAAGGAGGCCAAGCAGTGCCTGCTTATGAAATGTCGACCTTTCCTCTCATTCATGTTCATTACCAAGTCTTCTCTGTCCGTCTCAGTCCAGTCAGGGCTCGTTCACCCCAGTGAACTCTCAGAGCCCCTGCCAACTGCCCAAGGCCCTTTGTACAAGGTGTCCTAATAGTGTTCTCTTTCTTTCTTTTTTTTTAAATTTTAAAACAGTGTTTTGTAGATTTCAGATGACTATGCAGAGGCCTGGGGGACACCAAGTCTGGGCAGGGCCTTGGAGTCCCACATTCCATGGCCCAGGCTTAGGGGGAGGGAGGGACCTAGAATTGGTTGTAAATACTTTGCATATTGTCTGATTAAACACAAACAGACCTCAGTGTTTGGCCAGTGGTTTATTGAGTATCTACTGTGTGCTGGGCAGTGAATGTCCTGGCAACTCCAGTGGGTGGGGGGAGGGAGGGGCTCCAGGCAAAGGGGTGGCGTGATCAGATTGTGGACAGCGTTGGCATGTTGCTGTGTTTGCACACCTGTGCCTGGGTTTGGGAGGTAGCAGAGCCTGTGGAGCCCTTTCTTGTGCCTGAGACCTACAGATGAGGTCTAGGGTTCCCGAAGCCTGGGAGGTGGATGGTGGAGGGTCTGGACACTGAGGGACCAGAGGCGACTGCCGGGCCGGTGTGATGTTGCTGGGGGAGATGACAAATGTGAGAATACGATGGGATGTGTGTTATTTGTGTGTTTCCTAGGAGTGTGTGTGTACTGGGGGTGGGGGGGAAGGAGGTGGTCAACAAAAGTACTACATGATGTTGGAGAATATCCACATACTCTTCCACTTCTCTTCCTCCCCAAACACTAAAAGAAAACCTGGGAAGCTGATTTGCAGGGTTGCTATGAGTTGGACTCAACTCGATGGCCCATAATAATAACAACAATACAGGTGAAGTAAGGAGTCCTGGTGGTGCGTAAGTAAATTAAGTGTCTGGTTGCTAACTGAAAGGTCAATGATGCAAACCTAAAAGAGGCTCTGGGGGAGAAAGGTGTGGCAGTCTGCTTCTGTAATGCTTTATAGCCCTGGAGACCCTATGGGCAGTTTTACTCTGTCCCATGGGGTTGTTATGGGAGTGCAGTGACTCTGTAGTATAAACACCCACACCTCTGCAAACCACAAGATAGGTGGTTCGAGCCCACCAGCTACTCCTCAGGAGAAAGATGAAGTTTCTGTTCCTGCAAAGATATATACCCCTGGAAACCTTATACAAGGTGGCTATAAGTGGGAATTGACTCGATGGTACTTCGCCACAGGGTTGTTAGCAGGAGTGCAGTCACTCTGTAGGATAAACACTGCACTGTGAACCACGAGGAAGGTGGTTCAAGCCCACCAGCAGCTCAACCAGAGAAGGGTGAGACTTTCTGATGGTACCACCTGGGCAGCACTTAACAAGATAGGGTTGCTATGAGTTAGACTCAACTAGACAGCAATGGACAAAGGTAAAGTAGTAATTTTATATCAAATCATATCACCTATATGTGAATAATCTCTGATCCTAATCGCATTGCTTAACTCAAAAACAAAATTAAAAAGCAATATAGCTCAAATACCAGCGTGTCCAAGTTAGTGAGGACACCAAAGGCCCTGTGTCTGCGTGGCTTGCAGACTGGGTGTGTGAGTTGGTAGCCTGTCTTCGGTGTGCTTATTGGGGTGAGTGTGCGTGTACTGCAAGGATTCAGAGGTGGCTGTGAACCTGTGGTCTCCTGAGGCGTCGGCACCAGTGTATGTGGGTTCATGTGGACTCACATGGTTGGTAGTATGTGTGCCTGAGCATGTGTGTCTACGTGGATTTGCCTGTTCAGGAGTGTGCCTGCAGGACGCCAGATACTGGAATCGAGCCACAGAGGCCACCTTGCGGGTAAGGGGACCACTAGAATTCAGCGAACTACTAGGTCTTTGAGCCTGTTTTCTATCTAGTCCTTCTCTCTATCTGTCTGTATCTCTAGCTCTGTCTCTCAAAGATTTTCTGTTTCTTTCCATCTCTGCATGCATCTCAGCCTATGTCTCTCTCTTTGTGTCTTTCTTTCTGTTGCTTGTTTCTGTCTTCTCTGTGCCATTCTGCCTCTGTTTCTCTAATCTCCTATCCCTCTCTGCAGATTTCTTTCTGTCTCAGATTTCCCTCCTGAATCTTTCTATCTCTGACCCTCCCATCCTGTCCCACTGCTGACATCTGTCCCTGCCGCAGTCCTGCCTGCTGCAGCTTCCTTCTCTTCTTTCTGCTCCTCCTCTCTCCCTTGACATGTTCCCACTCTTATGGTTTCATCATCCATCCTCGCCTCAGTTGCTCCCAAGTCAGTTGTTTGGCCTCTACTGGTGGTTTCCTCACCTGCCTTGGTGGTTTTGGCCTGGGGTCAGCTCCCTGGCCCTTCACTCAACTCATCCCATCCTCAACCATCCTCCCACCACCATATCTTTGTTAATACAGCTCATGGGGTACCCCCCAGCTCACAACCCTACCATGGCTCCTTACTGCCCCAGGAGGAGGTGGTGGGAGTCTTGGGAACCCTCCCAGAGACCCTCCAGGATGCCATGCCCTTTCCAGGTATAAGCCTGCCCTCTTCAGGTCTCCCACACCTCTGCTTTTTGTCAGGCTCAGCCCACCACTGCAACCAGGCAAACTCCTACCGGTCCTTCCAAACACATCTGGCTCCTCTTGCTTTAACTCCCTCACTCTGGGCCTCTGTTCAGTTTGTATTGGCTCCATTCTTGCATATGAGAGAGACAGTGGAGAGGCCAAAGATGTCCACTCTCCGGGGCGCCTCTGTCCACTCGCACAGGCAGTCCAGTCTAGCTTTACAGCCTTCACCTTCCTTTGCTCTCATTTCATTTCCCTCGTGACTTACCGGATGGGGCACATTTTGGGGCGTTGGTATTCTTGTCACCTGCTCTCTGCCTCTAGGTCTCTGTGTCTCCCTGTCTCTCCATTTCCGCCTCTCTTTCCTCTGGACCCTCATTTACTGACTCCCTCTGGGCTGCTGACCTATTCATTTTTTACTCAGTCAACCATTCAAGTCTCACTGAACATTTACTCTAGGCCCAACTCTGCCATGGCCCATGTACCCAGATAGGCACACTTGCATGTGTACCTGTGTCAGCCCCTCTGTACCAAGGGCTGTCTGTCTCTTCCTTTCGCCAAGATTTCATTGACCTCAGCTCCCACAGTTGCATTTCTAACATGTGTGGTGTGTGTTACATGCTGTGTGCTTGGTGTGCAGTGTGTGTGCAGGATGTGTGTTTAGTGTGTACATGGTCCACACAGGATGTGTTGTGAGCATGCTGTAGGGTGTGTGTGGCGTATGTTATATAGTAAAAATCATATTTCACAACTGCTTTGATGTAAGATGAATATATCAATGTTATCTATTAAAACAGTTTCTTTGAGCTAAA